AGAGTTTGATTCAAACATAACACTCACTGCACAGGATTAGTTCTTCAAAAAATTACTGCTTTCCTAGTGCTTCACCAAAACAGTGTTTCTAGATGAGTCCCAGATCCTTCTCTTGTTTCTCTGGGAGAAGAAACTGTGTTCACGCAGAAATGTGTAACTGAGGTGTTCATGGAGAAATGTAGATCTTGAGTGAACACAGTGAAAAGCAATGAACTCTTCCTTGACACCATGCTAATAACACTGGTCTTCAGGATTTCTGAAGACAAACAGGTGGGAGTATATGTGCAGCAAAATGATCACGTCAAACTTGTTATGCACACAGTAAAACTCCACACATGATTCAAAATTACAAATCAATCTGTATTGAAGTATAATCCATAAAAAAAAAACCAGTAAGTCTCTGATCTCCATTAGTGAGTGCTTCTAATAATCTTTGCTTTCATTCAGCAAGCAAGGCTGTGTCATCTACATATCACAGGTTGTTAATGAGTCTTCTTTCTTTCAATCTTGATAATGCATTCTTGGGAAAGTTGAGGTCCTTGGATTATTCGCTCAGTTTGTGAAGTGAGTAAGTATGGTGATAGGATATGTCATGGATTGAATTATGTCCCTCTCAAATTGGACTAGGCCATGATTCTCAGTAGTTTAAAAGTTATGTAATGTTGGAATGTGGCAGGTAAGTAATGATATCCAATGATGCGATTAGCCAATCAGGTGTAAAAGGATTAAGATTAAGGGTGGGTTGCATCACCCTTAGTTCCATCACAGCTCTAATCCAATGTAAGGGCCCTAGGGTGTGACTCACAATACTTTTTATCTTACACGAGACAAAAGGAGAGAGAAAGGATCAGAGAAGGGGACCGACTACCACCAAAAGAGAAGCCAGGAATGGAGAACACCCTTTGGACCCAGGGTCCCTGCATTGGGATCTCCTAGGACCAAGAGATCCTTTCTCTAGAGCCAGCACTCTGAATTCAGACGTCTAGCCTCCTAATTGTAAACAAATAAATTCCTGTTTGTTAAAGCCAACCACTTGCGGTATTTCGGTTACAGCAACACTAAATAACTAAGACAGGATACAACCCTGACACACAAATTTCCTGACTTTAAACCACACAGTATCCCCCTTTTTTTCCCCAAACTCCCTCTTCATTTATGTACAGATTCTGCATGAGCACAATTAAATATTCTCAAATTCCCATTATTCACAATGTTATCCATAATTTCTTATGAGTTACACAGTTGATTCTTTGCAAAGTCAGTAAAACACAGAAACATCTTTCTGGTATTCTCTGCTTTCAGCCAAGATCCATCATACATTTGTTCCACATACTCTTCTAAATCTGGCTTGAAATCCTGGCAGTTCCCTGTTGATGTACTACTGCAACCATTTTTTAATTACTTCAAGCACAATTTTACTAGTGTGTCACATTAGTGATACTATTCAGCAATTTCTGTATTCTGTTGGATCACCTTTCTTGGAATGACCACAAATATGGATCTCTTCCAGTTGCATCCATTTGTTGAAACATCTCAGTGCTATTCTGTAATTTCCTGGAGTCTTATTTTTTTTT